CTTGGGGGCTTATATTCTCATCATCATCTCCAGTTCAAAATTCTTGCTATAGCTTTGTTTGGTTTTGTTTTACTTTCTTAGCTTTTAATTCCATTCGACCATCATCGTTCTCTGAAAAATCTCTTCTTTGTCAGCATCCCACTTACACAGTGACAGCTGTACCTAATATGTGTTATTTCAAGCACAGAAGAGAAGAAAAAGAACACCCTATTTCCTAGATTCTAAGATGGACATTTTTCACATTGTGACATCTCTGAAAGTGGGATCCACCTTATAAAATGAAGTTACAGTTTAATTGGTAACTTTTTAAATGTTACATAAAGTAATGATGCATCTTACAAACAACATAATCTTTGATTTGATAAAATATGGCATTATCAATGAATATTTAGTAAATATAAGCTCTAAAAACCTGCAGACCTGAATCTTCTGGAACATAATAGATGCCTCATTTGTACTTGCCAAATGTATGAATAAATGAAAGTTTGTTGTTTCTGTTTGACCACATCAACTGTGATATGGAATTCAGTCAGTCCCATTTCCTAACTTAAACACAGACATACATGAACATCCATATATAAGTGCTTGTTTGTGCCTGCACACACACAAACATACACACACATACAGACACACACATATGACTTTCCGGAGTAAGGTCTCCTTGCAAATTGAAATCAGATATTAGACAGCTCTTCAAGTGTCCATAGACCACTTCTTCAACTTAGGTTCCAGAACAGACCTTCTCTTTCCATCTTTTTTTTCTTCTTCAACTTCACTTTCTCCCTTTCCCTCTCTTCTAGGTTCCTTCCCAATCAGAACCAAAACCAAATTCTTTTTCTGTTCTTAGGCAGGGTAACTTAGTCATTTCCAGTTCTTCCAAATTCGGTTCAAGGAACATTGCCACTTCAGGGGCCTGTGTGAGTTATTGAACTGGAGTTCTGATATGGTTAGGCTTTGAGTTCCCACCCAAATTTCATCTTGAATTGTAATTCTCAGGTATTGAGGGAGGGTGGGAGGTGATTGGATTATGAGGGCAGTTTCCCCCATGCTGTTCTCATGATAGTGAGAGAGTTCTCACAAGATCTAATGGTTTTATAAGGGGCTCTTCCTCCTTCACTCTTCTCTCTATTGTCTGCTGCCATATAAGATGTGCTTGCTTCCTCTTCCCCAATGATTGTAAGTTTCCTGAGGCCTACCCAGCCAAGCAGAATTGTAATTCAATTAAACCTCTTTCCTTCATAAATGTATTAGTCTGTTCTCATACTGCTATGAAGAAATACCTGAGACTGGGAAATTTATAAAGAAAAAGAGGTTTAATGAACTCACAGTTCCACATGGCTGGGGATGCCTCTCAATCATTGCAGAAGGCAAAGGAAGGGTAAAGACACATCTTACATGGTGGCAGGCAAGAGAGTGTGTACAGGGAAACTTCCCTTTATAAAATCATCAGATTTCATGAAACTTATTTACTGTCATGAGAACAGTAGGGGAAAAACCCGGCCCCATGATTCAATTACCTCCCACCAGTTCCCTCCTGCAACATGTGGGGGTTATCAGAGCTACAATTCAAGATGAGATATGGGTGGAGACACAGTCAAATCAAATCAATAAATTACCCAGTCTCAGGTATTCTTCATAGCAGTGTGAAAACAGACAAATACAGGTTCTTTCTCTTATAGTCTATTTATGAGGGGAAGTAAAGGGTAGATAGGCTTCTGTTTTTGTTGTTTACATGCACATCTCTTCTAAAACTTTCCCAGTCAGTGGTCCAGTTCCTTCAGTTTTATTTCCTTTAATGATAAAGTGCTCACTATCTCCCAAAGCAAAGAAGTCCGTTTTCAGACAGTTCTAATTGTCAGAACCTCTCTTATATATTGATTGGATATTTTCCTCATTGAAAGGCCTGCCCAACTATTTTGAATTCACACAAATATATGTCTAATAATTTCTTTTCCACATGACAGCTGTTGAAGGATTTAAAGACAAGGGTCGCACTACCTTTGAATCTTCCATCCCACTTGTCATTATTTCTTTTTATGGTTTCTTGAATGTCAAGATTCCCGGATTGTTTATCATCAGGATCTGTCTCCTTAGACAGATTCCAGTTTTTCAGGCTTCAAATAAGGGTACAGCAGCCAGATATGAGTGATATACTGCAACTGTAGCTTAGGAGCACATATGACTTCATTTCCTTCACAGTATTTTCCTTCATATAACCTATAATCTCAAATTAACTTATTTTCTTGTTTATTTTCTCAGGCTTTCAGTAGAATGTCATTTCATTGAAAACATTGTTCTTGTCTTTCTGTTCTCCATTTTATCATATACATGTCTGGCAAACAGAACATATTTAATAAAGGTATGGACCAAATGAATGAATGAATGAATGAGCAATTTTTTCTCTGGCATCCCTCACAGAGACTCATCTATTTCATATTCATATATCTCACTTGTGAGTTCTCTTAGTGGCCTCAAATGCTGCTTATCAAATACCTCAACACAAAACTATTTTAGAGGCCTCACCCTTCTTGAATTTCACTTCTTTCATATCAATATCTATTGATATAGATAAATAATAGAGATCTAAAAAATGACAGTTCAATATATACCAATATCTGTCTTCTGACAGCAAAGGTAGAAGCAAAACAGAAATTGAGTGATGCCCCTTTTTTCTATCACTCATCAATTTTCAACCATCTTATTTATCGTCTGTAAGAAGATTTAAAAGGGCATTCAAATTCAACAGGGATGCCAGGTCTAGGGGGGATTCTATACTGAATGCCCCAAACCTGCCTTACTGATATGATTTATATTTTTGATTACACACCAAATTCTCTTTCATCTTGAGCCTCTCCTTTTCCTGTGTGTATCAATTGTTGCATAATGCATAATAAAAGTTTCTCAAGAGCAAGAACCCTAGTTGTTCTCCTCACCAGTGTACTCAAATTTGATGGTTGTTTCAGCAATTGATGCTCAAAACTCAGGAGAGCTTGTGTGACTTTAAGCAGCATCCTTGAACTCAAATAATCACACATGCCTTGGCTCAAGGGAAGTTGATTTGGTTCTACCTGTGTATCAAGAGCCAAAAGGAGGAAGGTAAGATCCACAGAAGAAAACCTTATCAAGTGGTGAGGGCAGGAATAGCCATTGAATTTTCATAGTCATATTACACACCATTATGTAGATGCTATATTTAGAAACTCATCCTCTAATAATTTTGAAGAGTATCCAAAATATGTTGCTTTAAAAACAAGTTGCAGCAAAGTGCAAATAGTATGATGTATCAAAAAAAATCAAATGTTAAAAATCTTTGTGTGTGTGTATGTTTACTTAGTACATAGAGAAGGCTATGGGAAGGATGCACACTAGTATTAGTTAATTTAGGAGGTAAGTCCTGTCATTTGCCCCATTTCCCACATGAGGAAATAGAGACATCAAAGGTTTCAGCCGTATGCCCATCATCGCACAACTATAAGTAGCAACACTAGAGTTTCACCCCAGACTCCAAAACCCACCCTCTCAACCACTCTGCCAGGCTGCCCAGTCATCACAAGGCTTTGGCCAGAATCTGATGGTTCAAGGTCGCACCCTCTCCACCCTAGAGACTCTAGGAAACTTGCTGGTGCTTTCCTCTCTTCAAATCCTTGTCACCTTTCCTCTTTTACCTAGGATAACCTCCCTCTGGACATTATCATAGACTGAGTTTCATTCACTGTGTTTTCCTCAGCACAGGTTAGGTGACCAGTAAATATGATTTTGTAGGAATAAAGGAATGAATGAGTGGATGAATGAATGAATGAGTAAAATGAGAGGAACAGGCATTATGAGCCTGATGGTGACTGCAATATAAATCATTGTTCTTGTTGATTGAATATCTTTCACAAGCCTTGGATTAAGAAAGGCAAGTAGCAGGAAGAGTTGACCATCTGCTTCAGGGTTTCAGAGGCCTGATCTATTGTCTGAATGAGGGCTTCTGTTTTTATTTTATTTTCCTTGTGGTCAGCCCCCTTGAATTCACATCTAGTTCAAGAAAATCTTCAAAACCTTTGGAGGTTCCAAGATGGCCAAATAGGAAAAGCTCTAGTCTGCAGCTCCCAGCATGAGCAACGCAGAAGATGGGTGATTTCTGCATTTCCAACTGAGCTACCGGGTTCATCTCACTGGGGCTTATCAGACAGTGGGTGCAGCCCATGGAGCAGGGCGGGGCATCACCTCACCCTGGAAGCACAAGGGGTCAGGGAATTCCCTTTCCTAGCAAAGGGAAGTCGTGACAGATGGTACCTGGAAATTGGGGACACTCCCACCCTAATGCTGCACTTTTCCAATGGCCTTAGCAAACGGCACACCAGGAGATTATATCCCACACCTGGCTCAGAGGAGCTTCGCTCACTGCTAGCACAGCAGTCTGAGATCGAACTGCAAGTTGGCACTGCCACTTAGGAGGTAAAGAATAAAAAACATAAAGTGTGGTTGATGTCTACAATTTTTTTACATGTATGTTGTATTATTTCCTTGGTTATGAACAATATGTGTTAATCTGTCTCCTACAAAAGAGAAAGCTCAAAAAAAAAAAAAAAAAAAAAAAAAGAAAAACAAATCTCAAGGCCCATAACTCTCCAAAGAGAAACCAAAGTAAAACTGGGGAAAAGTAGAATCTTTAGGCATGTTCTACCTGTTTCATCTCATAACTCCCCATGATGATTAATTTATGTGTCAATGTGAGTGGGCTAAGTTGATAGCAGATACCAGATAGTTGGTAAAACATTATTTCTAGGTGTGTCTGTGAGGCTGTTTCTGAAAGAAATTAGCATTAGAATTACCTCCTAGAGCTGCTATGAGATTTACATGAGGAACATATAGAAAGTGCTTAGCATAGAGTCTGGGATATGGCAAACAACCAAATGATTTTATAATCATGGGATCTTTCCCAGAGACAAGCAAGGAAACACTGTTTCTCTCCTTTCCTCTAGGTTTAACCTTGGATAATGTTAGCACATACCTGGATGACATCAGCCTAACCCACTGCACTGTGGCCTTGACTGAGTTCAAAAGGACATTCACACCCTCAGCCTTCCTTTACTGAGGGTCAGAGAGAAAGATGTTAGCATCTGCTGAATCTCAAGTAACACACTGCTTGTTTGCAAGGTAATTCCCAATGCTTTCTTCTTACTCTGCCTTCCCCAGTCCCTTTGAGGGAGGTGAAGAGTCCCTACTCCTTCTAACATGCCAGGGTCTCAGCAACCTGCCCAAGGTCAGAAAGCCTGTATAAGAAATGTGATCATTAAATTCTGCAAACTCTTCCTGCCATGACCCACCAGGGTGACACTTTTTTTCTTCCAGACAAATTCTAAAGTCAGTAATATTTACTTACACCAAGCAGCAGTGAGAGGCACTCACAAAGGTTGCTTGATTTCTTATTGTCAAAGTAACCTGGCTGAGGGTAACCACAGGAGGCTTTCCCACTGGGGCATGAAAAGGATTTTTAGGCTTAAAAATAGTTTCAGAGAAGAAGATAAATCACAAGTAAGAGAACATATGTGTATATAATCAGCCTCAAATGTACACCACAGAAATGAATCATCAGGCTTAAATGTTTCCCCTGGCCTAACCTATAAGTCCCCAGAGATCGGTGATTAAGTGTCCAATAGTTCTCTAAGAACACACCCCTTCAATCCCAGCTCTACTGCATGCAAACTAGGAACAATAATTTGTAAAGCTGGTGACAGTAGGGACCAAACTGCTTTTAAATTTTGCTTTCACTAAGACTTACTAAGTTATTGGAGTGATTTTGTGTAAGGCAATATTTCCCCTTTTCCAAATAGCCCCATACTCGCTTTTACAATACATTCTGCTTTGAAGGAAAAGAGGAGAAATGTTACCGCTGGTTCAGCAAAGGTCAAGTGAGGGGGTAGGATGGGGGTGCCTGTGGGGTTCTAAGATCAGGCAACACTAATGATATTAAACACACTATCAATCATTTATTGCCCCAGCTGAGTCATTGATATCATAACAGGTTTTCTATTGGGGATTTTTGTTCTTTGTGTTAAATAAATCCAGCTATTGTAGCTATTCTCTTTGGCACTTAAATTCCACCCTAAGCAATGGCTCAAGGTTAGTGTCACAAATAGAAAGCAATATAGCAAGTAAAATGTAAGTACTTGCAGTGATGGCTGAAGAGTCAGACTGTGTAGGTTAGATATCTGAATCTTCTATTGAGTTGACTGTATGATCTTGGGCAAATGGAATTCAACCCCATCTGAGCCTCAGTTTTCCTATCTATAAAATAGATTCATTTAGAGGATTTATATAACATGAATAAAGTATACCAATGCCAATTCTCTCAGCCTCACCTTTTGTTTTAGCTACTGCTGCATTAAACAGGTCCATATAGGCGTCTGCCATTGCTGAGGCGTCTCAGCAATGAGTAGGTAAACAAAGTGGCTAGGAAGCTCAAACTGGGTGGAGCACACTGCAGCTCAAGGAGGCCTGCCTGCCTCTGTAGATTCCACCTCTGGGGGCAGGGCATAGCTGAACAAAAGGCAGCAGTAACTTCTGCAGACTTAAATGTCCCTGTCTGACAGCTTTGAAGAGAGTAGTGGTTCTCCCAGCACGGAGTTTGAGATCTGAGAACAGACAGACTGCCTCCTCAAGTGGGTCCCTGACCCCTGAGCAGCCTAACTGGGAGACACCTCCCAATAGGAGCTGACTGACACCTTATACAGCCAGGTGCCCCTCTGAGGCAAAGCTTCCAGAGGAAGGATCAGGCAGCAACATCTGCCTTTCTCCAATATTTGCTGTTCTGCAGCATCTGCTGGTGATACCCAGGCAAACAGGGTCTGGAGTGCACCTCCAGCAAACTCCAGCAGACCTGCAGCTGAGGGTCCTGACTGTTAGAAGGAAAACTAACAAACAGAAAGGACATCCACACCAAAACCCCATCTGTACGTCCCATCATCAAAGACCAAAGGTAGATAAAACCACAAAGATGGGGAGAAACCAGAGCAGAAAAGCTGAAAATTCTAAAAATCAGAGCGCGTCTTCTCCTCCAAAAGAACACAGCTCCTCACCAGCAATGGAACAAGGCTGGACAGAGAATGACTTTGACGAGTTGAGAAAAGAAGGCTTCAAACGATCAGTAATAACAAACATCTCTGAGCTAAAGGAGGATGTTTGAACCCATTGCAAATAAGCTAAAAACCTTGAAAAAAGATTAGATTAATGGCTAACTAGAATAAGCAGTGTAGAGAAGTCCTTAAATGACCTGATGAAGCTGAAAACCACGGCACGAGTACTACGTGACGCATGCACAAGTTCAGTAGCTGATTGGATCAAGTGGAAGAAAGGGTATCAGTGAATGAAGATCAAAGAAATGAAATGAAATGAGAAGAGAAGTTGAGAGAAAAAAGAGTAAAAAGAAATTAACAAAGCCTCCAATAAATATGGGACCATGTGAAAAGACCAAATCTACGTCTGATTGGTGTACCTGAAAGTGACGGGGAGAATGGAACCAAGTTGGAAAACAATCTTCAGAATATTATCCAGGAGAACTTCCCCAACCTAGCAAAGCAGGCCAACTTTCAAATTCAGGAAATACAGAGAACACCACAAAGACACTCCTCGAGAAGAGCAACTCCAAGACACACAATTGTCAGACTCGCCAAAGTTGAAATGAAGGAAAAAATGTTAAGGGCAGCCAGGAAGAAAGGTTGGGTTACCCAAAAAGGGAAGCCCATCAGACTAACAGCAGATTTCTCCACCAGGAAACTCTACACAGCCAGAAGAGAGGGGGGCCAATATTCACATTCTTAAAGAAAAAATTCAACCCAGAATTTTTCATACTCCAGCCAAACTTAACTCATAAGCTGAAGAGAAAAAAATCCTTCACACAGGCAAACCCAAACCAAAACATTTGTCACACAACACAACAGCGCCCTGCCTTACAAAACATACGAAGAAGGCAACTAAAACATGAAAGAAACACACACAGCCACAACCTCCAAACAAGCAAACCTCAAACCTTAAGACCAAATCTAATGATGCTAGGAAGAAATGCACATCACTAATACACAAAACATACAGACTCACAATACACAACAAACCACAAGACATCACACACATACAAATATTAACCTTGAACATGTAAATGCGACTAAATGCTCCATTAAAAGACACAGACTGCAAATTGGATAGAATAGTGATTATGATCCATGTTGTTTGTTGTCCTGTATTTCGCGAGATTCTTCTCATCTCATCATTGTCATAGACACACATAGGCTTTCTAATATATAAAGGGATGGAGTGAGATCTAGCCAATCAAATGCTGAAAAAAAGAAGAAAAAAAGGAAGCGTTTGGCACTCCTAGTTTCTGAAAGAATAGCGACCGTTAAACAACAGAGAGATCAAAAAAGAGACAAAGAAGGGCCAGTTACATAATGTAAGGGAGCAGAGCAAGGCAGGAGAGCTAAGCTATCCTAATATATATGAGATGCACCAACACAGCGAACGCACCGCGAGAGGTCAAAGCAAGTCCTGTAGAGCACCTAACAAAAGAGACTTAGATTCCACACAATACTAATGGGAGATTTTAACACCTACGCTGTCAAGCATTAGACAGATTCGATGGGCGGCGGGGATAAGAAAGGTTACAAGGATTCCAGGCATCTGAACGTCAGCGCTGCACAAGCAGACCTAGAGTAGGACATGCGTACTGAGAACTCCCTCCGACCCAAATCAACGCAGATATCGATACATGGCGGGGTCTCAGCACCGACATCACAGCTCTATTCCAAAAGTTGGAACCACGATCTGAGTTTGAAGTAAGCAAGTCCTCAGCAAATTAAAAGAACAGAAATTATAACAAACTACGTCTCAGACCCAGGCTGCAATCAAACTAAAACTCAAGGGATTAAGAAAGCTCACTCAAAACCGGGTCAACTCACATGAAAGCTGAACAACGCTGCTCTCGAATGACTGACTGGGTACATACACGGAAATAAGGCAGGAAGATAAAACGTTCTTTGAATACCTAAAGTGAGCAGACAAAGGCACAACATACCAGAATCTCTGGGAACACACCTTCTAAAAGCAAGTGATGCTAGCAGCGAAATTCCGTAGCCTAATAGCTCCCACCAAGAGAAAGTAGGAAAGATCTAAAATTGACACCCTAACATCACAATTAATAAGAACTAGAGAAGGCTACGAGGGAGGCGACACACGATTCCAAAAGCTAGCGAAGCAAGATAAGTAGGACTAAGACAGGAGCAGAACTGAAGCGAGGATAGAGACATAAAATACCCTGTCAAGAAAATCGAAGTAATCCAGGAGCTGTGTTTGGTGAAAAAGATCAACAAAATTGATAGACTGCCGGGTAGCAAGACTAATAAAGACGAAAGAGAAGAAGAATCAAAGCTCCGGGTGTGCAATAAAAAATGATAAAGGGGATATCACTACCGATCCCACAGAAATACAAACTACCGTAAAGAATACATAAACACTTTTACAC